ATATATATATATATATATATATATATAAGAAAACTCGAATCCTTTTTGTTGTTACAAAACCATTCTTTATTTAGCCGGTTTTAGACAGGCCACTCTTCAATATAAAAGCTATAAAAACATATAAAGAAGCTAAACACTTTTTGAAAAGTAATAAATATAAAATTAAAATGTACGTAAAATATACAAATTATAATTTTCGATTTAATTTTTTTTCGTATTATTTTCAAAACTCCGATTATAAAATTACCTTATTAACAACGTTTCAAATCAAAACCTAATTAAATAGCCTTTAAATTAACATCATTATTGTCCCCCAGTGGGACAGCGGGAAATCTTCGGACTTAGAATGCTAAAATCGGGAGTTAGATTTCCCTCGGTGGACACAACAAATAGCCCGATGTGGCTTTGCTATAAGGAAACACACGCACGACGTCGTTATTAAAATATTTTAACGTTAACGATGTATATAATAAATGAATGTTATAAAAATACATATTAAACAACACCGTTAATGTAGTAAGAAATAATGTAGCATAACTTCACTTACAAGACGTATATAGATATAAGTCTGCAGGCTTACGACACTAAAAATCGGGTTTCGATACCCATGGTGGGCGGAGCACAGATAGCCCATTGTTTAACTTTGTGCCGAACTTCCAACAAACAAACAAGCTTCACCTACTATCGTCCCCAGTGTCTCAGATATAAGTCTGCAGGCTTACGACGCTTAAAATTTCGGTTTCGATACCCGTGGTGGTCGGAGCACTGATACCCATTGTGTATAATAACTACTAATTAATCACGTACTATCATTGATTCTCTGCCCCTTAAGAAGCGTTGCACCACTAGTTGCGATTTTATACAACGTCTAGTGACCAATGAAAGCCCATTAAATGGTTTCATTGTTATGTTTAATCTCCCCATTGTAAAACAGGAATGATTGACCATTGTTTGTAAAATCTATAGTTTATGTGAAGACCGTCAATAAACGCGTGATAACAATTTGGCAGCGTTTTATTTTAACATAAAATAGTGGAAACATTTCTTGTAACCCCTTTGAGAGAATTTCCACCAGCTGTATCTGTTTACTTGGGAATGTGTGCATCTGTTTACTTCTCCGTAACCTGTTTGTTTAAAGTACGGTAACTTGTAAGTTAAATATATACTAGATGAACTTTTACAGGGTCCCCGAAAGTGTTCTGTTTACTT